AGTGATGCGACACCCACCAGGCTGTGCCAAGCAGTGGACTCGGTGACAGCAGCAACATGGCACTCGATCAAGAGGCTTTTAGCATTCCTGGAAAGTCGGCACTCCACATCTAAAACTGCCTGCCGATTACACAACACAAAAAGGAATCGTAAGGCCACACCAAGGTAGTGCCAAGTCCAAAAAGGCAGCCAGACATATTCGGTAACACCAGGAACACCTGACTAATTCTGCAGATGCATGAGCCATCCAGCCTGCTCCATGCCACCAGAAAATCTGACATCCATCGCTCCCTGAGAGATCACTGTCAATGTGAATGATCAGAGAGAGCAACGTATTGGACTTGCAGGGCAATATAGCCCTAAGCTGCTTCTTACTGTTTGCTCCATGGAAAAGTCCCTCCTGGGTACTAATCACAGCAACAAAGAACATAGAGCTGTTAAGAAGGAAGATAATTGTATCCACAGACTACAGTGATCAAATTATTATTATTCTTATTTTATTAGCAAAGTTAGCTAGTCTCTCTGCTGTAAGGGCCAGGAATGTGGATCTATGCAGCTTTGATCTTGCTGTGAGTAAACAGATTGCATTTTCTTACAAAAAAGAGGCTGCAAGAATTGAACACGAAACGGGCCTGTACAGTTGAGGAGCTGAATTGCTCTGTGCTCGTACAGGCCACCACTCTAGACAAGCACACTGTATACCACAGCAATCTCGTGGGGAGATCTGGAGGATGAACCCGCCCAGCTCATGCATCTGGCCACTGCCTGATCCTGTTCTCAGAGTACACAACAACACGCGCTTGCGACTGTGCAGATATAAAATCCCCCAAGTCTTACAGAGCTCACTGATCGGATCGGAATGATACAGCACCAGGAGCAGCCCTTGTGATTCCAACCTTCTGAGTTCCTCACAAAATGGATTCAAATCCCACATTCACGGTCTGCATCTGAATTCAGCCCCATGTCGTCACTGACGTGCATGAATCCAGCTTCCAAGGTTGTTTCCAGTCGTGCGGAACGTGTCCGCCCTTGTGCTCTTTGCTCATTAGGAACCGCGGATCACTATTCATTGGAAAAGCAAATCTTTCCATGTTCACGGATCATTTGCCTTTCCAAAGCGGTGCTGCTGAGGGAGTGGGTGAATGATCCTCAGACGAGGAGGGTCAAGAGCGAGTAACAGCCACGTTCACACGTGGTTCTGTCTGGTTAAGCCGCAGATGGCTGAATTCGGACCTGGGATTTGGAATCAAGAATAAGACAGCTTTTAACTGAACAGAGAGTACGGCTGGGACTGAAGAGGACTGGTTACTGAAGCACTTACCCTACTGAAATGTGACAGCATTTGGTGGTATATCACACTGTCGCACACAAAGCCTATGCAGATAAATCTGCTTTTAGGTCAGGTGGATATGTGGAGATCAGGCACATCTGAATAACTATTTTAACGTCCACATGCACTAATTAATGACCCATGAGGGATGATAAACAATTTACCAAAAAAGCTTGCCATCAGCATTATCAGCACTGAGATTATTATTCGTGGTTCCATTACTGTACTTGTGCTGTGACTCTTTGTTTCTATTTCTGAGTCGGGTCCTTCAGAAGACACCAAAAGACACCCAGACTAGTGCGTAATGCATTAATTGCTAGATTGTTTTCTTGAATCACAACATTTCTGTGCTTCGCTCTGATCGCTTTTGACCGGGCAGTGTTTCCACACAGTAGTGCAGATCAGAAAGGATGCACTGCGACACATTTGTTCGACAAACCTCCTGCAATAATTTCAGACAGGAGACAAATAGCAACAGCCTCACATATTTACAATTTACAAGATTAGGAGGCAAATATCATTCTCCTAACGTGGTGTGTGTCTTCAGCACCCGTTGCTATGAGACCGGCCCCTCTGTTATTGGCTAGCGGGTGTTTGGTGAGCCGAGGTAGCACATTAGATGTCTTGATAAATGCCCTGGTCTGGGAGCGCCGCAGTTTTTATGTGTTTTCTCACCTTCCCTCTGAACACAGCGGGTAATGGGGTGCCAGGGGATTCGCTCTGAGCTAGTGGTTAATTGAGGGTCTGGAAGATGCCCTTGCACATGGTGGAGAAAAGAGAAAGACTTTACGTCAGTACAGACGAGCTATTTATAGGAGCTTTAAAGAACAGAGGAATATTACAGGCTACTGAGGCAGGGGGGCCTTGGGTCACACAGCAGAAGAACAATCGGGGGGGTGTACAGTATATAAGCACTGGTGGAACAGACTTATTCGTCACTACCTTTATCATAATAACTCCTACGCACCTAAGCAGCAGAGCTCAATCACATTACTATTTGATCATTCTGAAGGGGGTGCTTTCCTTGTTAGGGATTCAGGGTGGACCTGAGAGCGGGTGGTTCACAATTAAAAGTGCTGAATGGCTGCCGGCCTCTGGGCTGATTAAACAGAGCTCTGTAGCAGGAAATGAGAGAAACTGACTCACCTGGCGAGAGAGAGAGAGAGAGAGAGAGAGAGAGAGAGAGAGGTGGGGGAGCTCTTCATATAATTGTGGTCTCGAGCAAGAGCGGAGTTTGACTGTAACAGCAGTTTACACTTGGTTGCACAATTGGAATAAATGAATAAAGAATTAAAATGGCCGAGGCTGTGACTATAAAGAAAGACAGTTCCCCAGACTGGGCACCTCATGAGGCTACAAGCAGAAATTAAGAGGGTAAAAGGAGCAGACTGGGCTGCTCTTTATTATCAACTTGCTTGTGATCCTATTTCCTATTTACACAGAGCTACAGAAAGAACAAGATGCCAGGAACATCTGCTAAACTGATGAGAATGGGATGCTAAAAGACCTCCTCTCCCATGTGATCCTGCGTGATTTTAATAGAAAACGATGTCAGTGTACTGCAAAGTTTTAAAACAAATTCACTGCTTATCCCTGATGCATTATTTACTCCCCACAAAATGTGTTTGAAGCAATGCACTGCTGAAGAACAGGAAGTGCGAGAGACAGGTTAGTCGGTGAAATACTACAGCTCTGCTTTTCTTGCAGAAGCCAACAGGAGACATGAGGGGGTGTCAGTACCCACTATTTCCGTGGGCACAGCCGCGTGCTGAAATAAGATCCCCTTGCCATCACTTTCAGACTCAGCCAGCCTCTTCACCTTCAAGGCCAAAGTGAAACCAAAGTTTTCAATCCCAAGCATTCTAGGTGCTGGAGGACAAAGGTGGTCATTTGTCATATTTTCTTGGAAATTGATTACACACTTATAGCTCTGAAAAGATACATTTTTTCCAAGTTTAACAGCAGTTGTTTCCCACCTTTTTGGAAAAATAGAGGTAACTTAATTTAACATGATTTTTGTATTTCCAGCTGGCAGTACATGAGATATTATCTAATAATAATCCCCGTTAAAAAAAACAAACAGTTTAAATTCTGGGCCCGCTAACAGCGCCATCCTACTCAACATTCATCTACCACTTCCTGAAAGACAGAATGCATATCAAACTAATTTCATAACTCCCAACCATATGCTGCAGCAATTTTGCCCAACAAAGCCCACATGGGGCTGTTTTTGAATGCCACAAATTATATAGGCAAGAGCGTTGTGGGGTAATTAGTCTGTACTGCACTGTAAATATGGTTTTATTTTCAGGGCTCCCATACGCAGAGGGGCCCTTGGATGGGACTAAACCCGTCCGCTATAATAATCAACTAAAACAAAATCGGTGCCACCAGCTCCGATTTAGACTGAAGGGCTGTATTGCACTGTATGTACGAAGTCACGTCTGCCTCCACCCCATTCTCTCTTTCTGTGCTAAAACACACTTACAGAGATACTTACTTTCATGGCCGCTGACTAGCATTGTGCGCAAACAAGCTGGTTCATCAATTTAATTGATAATTCATATTACCACGAGAGAAGAATACTGAAAAAAAAGTACAAAAATATCAGAAACCTGGAGCTTGCTGATTGGAGGATATTTAGCTGGACAATGGGGCACTGTGTGCTGGCCGACTGCATGGGGGAAACCGACTTTGTTTGCTACGGTAAATAAGGTTGGCTGGCCTGCAAAGAGAAGAAAAGGCAGAAGAAGAATGAAGAGGGAAAGAAAAGCTGGCCTAGTCAGCCCTGTGGGAAAGTGGTTTTGATGCATAGCTGGGTTTAGGCTCTGCAGAGGGCCGGACTTGAGACCCTTCTGTGTTAAACACTTCCAGCATCAGCTCTGCCACAGCTCTGACAGGTGTTTCAAATGTTAACAAGTCTTTTTATTAATATATGGATATACTGTATATTGTGCACTTGTGGCTCTAACATGTGCCGTCGGCTTTTCAACCAAGCCCCCTCTCTTTCCTTCGTACATTAGGGACCCTCTGTAGGCTGCCTTCACAAGCTCTGACTCTCGGGCAGCCTGACACGATCCAGCCATGGAAAGAGCTTTTATGAGATAGAAAAAACCCCAACAAAACGCCTGAATCACAACGACAAAAAGGGTCCTTTATTTCTCTGTTTGCAGTGCAACCAAAAAATGCCTTGATTACTAACAGTGTTATTTTCAGATTAATTATTACGTAAACCTGATCTTCTCTATGCATTGACACCAAATACCATTCCCCCGATGAGTCATTAGCGTGATTGAGAAGAAGCAGGACCGCACACCATCTTAAATGACAAAGAGATTAGCCATTATTCCTTCTGCAGCAGAACACAGGTGTGAGCAGCCTGCTCTCCTGAAGCCAGGATAATTCTCAGCATTCTGTTCTTGATCCGGACTTCTTTCCTTTCTATGAATATTCTGACTAAGGCTATTGTAGTTTACTATCTGACAGAATATACAGACATAAAACATTAACGCTAACCCCTAGAAAGTTTTCCGTTACAGAATTTCCCCAGGGTCGTTGACTTAATACAGAGACTCAGGCTTGAAGAATGTTTTGGTCTGTGTGTCGTGAGTCGTTACTCAAGAGAAACCTGGGAGATGCTGGTTTTAAGCTGTTTTTTTTTTCTCTTTCAGTTCTGCAGACAGCTGCATCATGGACAGGCTGCTCTTCTCCTTGTTGGTGCTGGCTATGTCAGTGAAGGCACAGCTGTGCCCAAAGCGGTGCATGTGCCAGACCATCTCCCCATCCCTCGCCATCCTCTGTGCCAAGACCGGTCTGCTCTTTGTGCCCACCGTCATCGACCGGAGGACGGTGGAGCTGAGGCTCACGGAGAACTTCATCACGGTGGTGAGGAGGAAAGACTTTGCCAACATGACCAGCCTCTTGCACTTGACCCTGTCCAGGAACACCATCAGCCAGATTATGCCTTACACCTTTGCTGACCTCAGCCGTCTCCGTGCTCTCCACCTGGACAGCAACCGCCTGACCGTGATCGGGGATGAGCACTTTCGGGGGCTGACCAACCTGAGGCACTTGATCCTGAGCAACAACCAGCTGCACGAGATCTCCCCCAGATCCTTTGATGACTTCCTTGGCACCCTGGAAGACCTGGACCTGTCCTATAATAACCTGGTTCACATCCCTTGGGAGACAATAGCAAGGCTGACTAACGTCAACACCTTAAATATGGACCACAACCTGATCGAGCATGTTCCTTTGGGGATTTTTGCTAACCTGCACAAGCTTGCCCGACTGGACATGACCTCCAACAAACTCAAAAACATCCCCCCTGACCCTCTCTTTTTGAGGATCCCGGTCTATGCCAAATCTAAAGGGTCACCCCTGTCCTCCTTGGTCCTCAGCTTTGGGGGGAACCCTCTGCACTGCAACTGTGAGCTACTTTGGCTCCGGCGCCTCACCAGGGAGGATGATCTGGAGACCTGCGCCTCCCCACCTGACCTCACGGCCAAATACTTCTGGACCATCCCCGAGGAGGAGTTCATCTGTGACCCTCCGGTCATGACCAGGAAATCGCCCCAGACCTCCGTCATGGAAGGACAGCCCGTCAGCCTGAAGTGCAAAGCCAACGGGGACCCCGAGCCGGACATCCACTGGATCTCCCCTGCGGGGAGGCTGATCTCCAACACGTCCCGGATGACTCCGTACAGCAACGGCAGCCTGGAGATCAACATCACCTCGGTGAAGGACACGGGCAACTTCACCTGCATCGCCTCCAATGCTGCCGGCGAGTCGACGGCGCAGGTGGAGCTGGTCGTCAACCCGCTCCCTCACCTGGCCAACAGCACCAGCCGCTTACGGGAGCCGGAGCCGGGGCCCTCCGACATCCTCACCTCCGCCAAGTCCACCTCCCCCTCCGGCAACGACACCGCCAAGGCGCAGGAGAAGGTGGCCCTGGTGGAGCTCACCATGAACTCTGCTCTCATCAAGTGGACCTCGCAGCGCCACGTGCCCGGGATCAGAATGTACCAGGTCCAGTACAACAGCTCGAATGAAGACCCCCTCGTCTACAGGTAGGGCATGTTCTCATGCCTTCTGGAGGTTTGATCGAGATGCAAGTTTGTACAAAAGTGCATTTGCAATTTCTTAATATCTAACGCATAGCCCACCTGTTGCCCTGAGTTTTAATCTTCATCCTAACAAGACTTCAAAGAACATAAAAAGTAGGTATAGCTCATTTACAGACTGCATTAAATGTCTTATTCATATTGTTCTTGGTTTTGAGACCAATAATATTAATATCCTTCCCTATGGTTATGCTGTATCATGTGCTTCAGGGCACATGGCTTAGGTGAAAAAAATCACTCACTGAAAATCTGGTGTCACCTTCGGATTCTTTACATTCTGAAAAGAAAATTTCACCAAACAGCTTGCCGGATTGGATCTGGCAAATACCCGGGGCCCTTGTGCACTCTGAAAGCTGTGCAGAGAAAGGCTGTTCTGCTGAGTAAACGGATAGCTCGCACCTCTGCTTTTGCACATTTGGTCAGTAAAGTGCTAAGCAAGGCGTGCAAATCTCGGGCGAATTAATCTTCTTTTCACTGTGGAAAGAAACAGCCTCAGCTTTACAGCCCCGATCACCGGGGGAGGGAGGGAGAATTCACTTACTGTTTCAGGATACAATCATGAATAATCTTTATTAGTTGCGCGAACATGAATATATTTATAAGTAAACATGATGTTCAACTATGCCGAATAATATTTTCCAAATTAAATTAATTACCTGCTTATGTAATGCCTTTTTGTTAGTGGTTAAAAAGAAATCCTTTATCTCTTTTCCTAGGAGGGAAAAAGGTTCTATAAAGAGCTGGAACAAAAAATGGAAGTAAAGAATAAGAAAAAATGCCTTAAAGCACTCCCTTCACCTTTAATAAATCAGATTTGGGATTGGCTCTCAACACTGTCTATTCAGCATAGCATTATGGAACTTTTACCACTATTCTACTGGAATGTAAAGGGAATTTAGATTATACTGTATGCCTTGTAAACAGAAAGAGACTTTAGAACACATTCTAAATAATTCAGACAGGTTTAAGCTAAACTTGATTTAAAATGACCTAGGGATAAGCATGTGTTTGTAATAAAGACAAATAACAAATTCTGACATGGAGGTTTCTAATCTACTAAGACACCTGCAACTAGAACTCACTATACATTACAATGATTATCAGTGTTGCCTAAGTTTACAACTCAAACAATTACAGTATGGTGTTTTTCTTCTAAATCATAAGAAGATCTAGGCTTGCAGAGGAACCCAGCTTGTCACTGCTGCCCCTGTTCCACTGAGCGCAGCCAGTGGTGGTCAATCGATATGCAGTACAGCTGAGGCACTCTCTCTGCCTGAAGCACTAAATCACTCCAGCACAGCCCATCCCAGCACTCGTTTTAGCAGCCTCTTCTGCTAATAATCCGAAAAGACCTTCACCCGAGTCGATTTCTGATGGGCGCCAGCTATTCGCACTCCTGAAGCGACAGAGACAGAGCCTCCGAATTAAAGCATTGCTTTGGTCCTCATCTATTACTGCACATCACTGATGGGATGAAGAGACTCTGGGACAATAAGAGCTTTACTGCAGCTCCCCAGGCAACATCTACGTTAGATGATATAAAAACTAAAAAAGCATTTAAACTTATGAGCCAAATCATTTTTTGGTCTGAAAGTTGTTTCAGCTCTTCAGAAATGTCTCTGTGGCAATTCTGAAGGAATCTTGCAGAATACTTGCAGGAATGTATGAGGATCTGAGCCTCAGAAATCTCACAGGATTTTATTTCATGGCCACACTTACTGGTGTGACATTACCTCTGGGGTGTTAAACAAGCTCTCTTTGCAGCCTCCAGTTTCCTGGGCAGTAGGATTTTATCTGAGATAGCAGAAAACAGAGTTAGGTTTACAGACCTTACAGACTTTGAAAGAGTGATTTCCTTTCTGCTCTTTTAAATACCCGCTAAGGCAAGAGAGAGTAGGATACAATTAAGATGCTACTAACATCTAACATGCTGTAGGTGCACCTGCTATTTTGCTATGTTCTGTTTTTAAAGTTTGGAAGCATGCTTTTTAATTTTTAAATTATTCCGAGATTTTTAGGACACAGAGATAATAACAGGAAAAGTTCAGGTGGGTAGCTGCGTCAGCATGTGTCCTCTGCAAAGGAACAAGTAATAGGTTTCTTCCATGCTGAAGAGAGCAGAGAGAAACCACAGCGTTTCAGGGTTCACAGCTGAAACCTTGCGTTTTCTCTCTTCTCTTTTCAGCATGTAATAATCCTATCATTTGTTCCTTTAATAACAGGAATGCTCAATAATAGCATGTCAGTGATAGTAAAGTAATGACTACTCCCACATTAAATTCAACAGTTGGTATAATCACGCTTTCAGCACATGGTTAATCAATCATTTTTAAATGTGTGAAGAGGCTTCCCTTTTCAAAACCTAAAATGACTGCCATGTCACATCATGTCAGATGTCATCTGCAGGATGAAGAGCTCACATCAAACAGTTCTTATGCAATATGCACACATGCCAGCTGAGCTGTGGGCAGGCGGCGTGTCAATATGGGTTTGTGATGGGCAACTGGAACCTGGACCAGTGCCGCGGTCAGTGCCTTTTAAGTCAATGAAGATTTGCAATAAGGTGGCTTCTGTGAGTGTATGGGCTGGAGAAACAAGGTGATATTCAGCAAGGAAGACAGCTGGAAATCACAATTAAAATGAATGGGGGTGGAGTGCAGAACGGAGTGCAATTTGCTCAGAAAGCACACAATCTAGTGCTCGTCTCAACACAGCCAGGCTGTGCCAAAAGCCAGCTGTGGCCAGCGGTCCCCCAGTGTTGTGTAGCCAGCAGAGCTGATTCAGTGCTCTCAGCCACACAACAGTGAGCCCTGTGGCCACAGGGTAGAAGGAACTAGAAGGAGTGCAGCAACACCAAGCTTTTCAATTTAATCAGCATTTGTCCTCAACTGCTGTGTCTGCTGAAATAAAGCTATTAATCGGGTAAAGGGGTTGAGAAGAAATGCCTTTTTACAGTAGAGAGCTGCAGACACATGTAACAGGGCATTTACTGGAGCAGTCTGTGTACCCTGGATGAAGGGCACAACAGCAGGATTCGAACCCATGACCCTGCAGCCCAGAGGTTTGGGCCCTAAACACTCCTTCTGCTTCAGGAATATTAGCGCTTTTATTGTTTTCTCTTTGAGTTTCTGTGGAGCAGAAACAGACCACTGCCATTTACAGAAGACATGCAGTGCCTACAGTACAGTAGTAGCGCTTTTGACTAGAGACAAACATCCATATTTAAAAGACTGAAATGACCAGCACATTTCTGAAGCAGTCAATTCGTAAAAAGCACTTTACTCAAGTGACATTTTTTATCTCCAGAAAAAGGTACGAAAAAATGATGAGTTCTCTAAGTCAGGGGTGATGAACCCTGGTCCGTAAGGACCCCTGTTCAGCAAGTTTATTGGTCTAAAACCACAGCTTCTTACGAAAAAAGAAAAGGTTTCAACTTGTCCTATGCAGTAAAGAATAATTTCAATTAAGTAATTAAGGACTCATGGAAAGAAACACAGAAATCTTCTGGCTCTCCAGGACTGGCGTTGTCTCTCCTCTAAGTGTAAATGTCTTAAAACAACAAATAAAGCAAAAGGGAATGAAATTTGAGGGTGTCTTTCAAATTCCATGGATTGAAAAAGGATCCCTTGAGATAGAAGGAAAATGGAAGGCGACAGCACAATAACTTGCCTGAAAATTAAAATGTACAGAGACATCCAGCGCAGACAGGGAACAGGCCTGAAAGGAAACAATAAAAATGAAAAGAGGACATTCTCTGTCCGTCTTAACTCTGAGACCCGCCAGCAGCTGCAGGGCCTTTGCTATGTGCTGCCTCACTCTCTGAGTGACAGCCAGGGTCTGGCGCAGGGCCATCAGACAGACAGCAGAGGCTAGAGACTGAATCCACTGCCTGATCCGTACCGTTAGAGCACAAGCACAGCCAGAATGGGACATTAAAGAACGGCAAATGATCTGGACATGAAATCAAGAATAAATGTAATAAATACTATCTAAATTTGGATATTGTTTTACTTACAACAGACATGTAAAATATGCAAATACGACAGAAGCAGGCTCCTCATTACAAATAATTAAAAAATAAGGTTCTGTTATTGCTGTAGTTATTTTCTGTTGCATTTCATCACATACTGCTAGAAGATAAAAGTCTGTTTTCTGTGTTAAACAGACGTTTCTGCAGTACTGCTGCCCCCTGATTACGGTATTATTTACTTTTCCTTCCACGGCACATGATACATTTCAAACTAGGATATAAAAGAGAAAACTGCAGTTCCCCAGTCTATTAATATTAAGCACGGCTGCTTAATAACATACATGGGTCAAGTCAGATAAGAGATCAGAAATGTAATTGATTGAGAGAACACGTACTGTACAATACTCTTGTGTTCGTGAAGATCGCAACAGATCAAGCAGTGCAGTTGTTTTCGCATGTTCCTGTTTGCGTGTGAAGCACGATGTGCCGCAGAGACAGTCCCCTTTGACGGCTGTGTGATTGGTCTGTGCCCGTCCTGTAGCTGACATCTGTTTCCGCAGGGCTGTGCTTTCAGTCAGTGGGATGTCAGATGCAATTTACTTATATCCACTTACTCCACCGTCTTCGCGTTTTCTTGAATATCAATTTTTAATGAATTCAGTTTGCATTTTTTTTCACCTTTAACAAATGAGAGGATTAATTAAACGGGCACACAGTAAACAGAGACATCAGAAGGGATTTGCATACCTAGTTCCTAATATCATTGCTTTGCCACAGCAGGTATGGGATGATGGGCTGCTTCTCTGCAGCGGCGGGCTGGAGCTCTTGCAGGGTGCTGGAGGAGAAAAGGTCATTCGGCTCGTGTTCATCTTAGTATTTACGCATCCTGACTTGGCAAAGCACAGTGGCAGCATTGGAATAAGAACCGGAACTCTGTACCCAGAAATACGAATTAAATAACTGTGAGAGGAGGAAT